AGAGATTTTAGATGGACTAAGCTATTTCAAGTAAATTTTGGTGATTCATGAGTCATGACACCTTCAATTCTGTGTCACCACCTATTTATCCGTAAGACAACCTTATTCTCCACCGTTCTTTTCTGTCTGGTTTAAGGTAACCATGACACCTTCAAGGTTTTATCTAAAACAAAATAAACCTAAAAGCAAAATGATATTAAAAACAAAAGAATTTATTAGAAATAGATATAAATTTAAAGAACCACAATTATGTTTTTATTAGATCCAATTTAATTAATAGAAAAAGTTTGACAAAATCAATGCAAATGAATCCAAACAAACTGTAATTGAAAGATCATTATAATTTTGTTAAAATGATTTGTACTCAAATTATTAAAAGATCATTATAATTTTTTAATAAATTAAATTCTGTTTACATAACCCGCGCGTATACGCGGATAATTACGTAAACATATAAATAAAATATTTAAAATCTAGGTAGTAAATCCAAGACTCGAATCTTTTTCAGGGCTTTCAAAGTCATCATCACAATTTGAAATGAAACAAAAGAGCAAGGAATAGAAAACGCGTGGGATATGAGCTGGTAAGCTATGATACCTGATGATATGTGTAAGGGAACCAATGCTTATCAACACATAGGAAATCACAATTTTAAATGCTTATGTTGCGGAAGGTGGAATAGTGGTGACATGAAATAATGTCTAGAGTCTAGACAGTGTTGAGGCCAAGAGATCAAGGTTTTTAAATCAGAGCACATAGATTAATTCTCACAAGTGTTGTTTATTTACACGAAGACACTTACTTAAGGGAAATCTTCACAAAGCTAAAAGAATTTGTAAAAGGTAACAACAACACAAAGAGACATCTCTTTGTTAAATAATACTTAATAAAATGATCAGAATTGCCTCTTACAAGTGATACGTTTGAGTTTTATATAGGCTCTTGTGGGGCATAACTAAAAGGTAATAAAAAGGAAATATTATCCAGAATTGAAGGGAAGATAGCTGTTAGGTGACAGGTGCTTTTGAGTTAATTTTGGCAAGCATTACTGCTTTAAAACTACTTCTACCCGTTGGACATCAAGGCTTGGGTGTGCACACAAAGATTGTAGGGTTGCTTCTAAAAGATCGTGGTTGTTGTAAACCCTCTAATTTATCAGGATGATGTAGTGAGGTAGAACTGATCAATGTGTATCTCCTATAGTTTTCTTATATGGCTCCTTAAATAAATGTTTAAAGATCAAATGGTTTGAAACAATTTGGCTCGGGTATTGTGTCTGGTCAAACTCTATTTGGACTCTTGGGTGGTTCCTTGAATCTGCTGAGTTGGTCCTCCAAAGGATTGGGCGTATGGTCATGAAATGCTCTTGCAAATTTATCAGATCATGTTCGAGTAAGTCTTGGCCCGCGAGTAGCTATTTGGTCGAGAGTTCTTGACCACGAGATAAGATTATCTCGAACCTTGGGTAGTGCTGCTCGACTAGGGGTTGATTTCTATGTGACCATAACTAGTTTTTCATTAACCAAAAGGCAAGGGTTTGGACCAAAATGTTGATGGATGTTTTTTTTATCCACAAGGCGTCTAGTTGTTTCTCTTCGAACTTGGTTGCCTTTCGATGGTTGTATTTGGTATCCACACACCTTACCATCATCCCCATATCATATTGGGTTGTTGGTACGATATTCACATCAAGAAAATGTGGAAACCTTTTTGATGGAAAAATAATAAACTGTTTTGTTGCAAAAACGTTTTCTTTGTGAAACAACTATATGGAATCGTTTTTTTTTTTNTTTNTTCTTTTAGACAGCCAGCAGTCTGCTACCGGTTGACATCACCAACACGCCGTACGGTCTTATTTACCGTTTGCTTCTTCACGTCAAGGGTTTATGACCTGACCCTGTAGACAGAAGTCCACTCCAACCTCTTTCTCCACCGTCCTATATTTGGTTTAGTCAGAATAGTTTATTTTCCGTTGGCAAATCCGGACATCGCATGGACTCCAATACTAATAACCGTACTGGATAACACAACAATGAGACACAACCAGATATATAGTTAACACAATACGGTGTTCAGACCAAATCATGTTGGAAAACTCTCTCAAAGATCGACGATGTTCAGATATGTTTTCTATTTGCAAAATGATATGATATTTCTGGCCACTCAAAACAGGAAGGACGGTTAGTCTCTCAAATTTAAAAGCTAAAAAATGGTTTCCAGTTTTCTTAGGCCCAAAGAATTTATCTCATCCTTGGTTTGGATTGGCTTCTATGGCTCCTTGGTGCGACTCTGAAGAGAAAATCGTGGTCCACCGGTGTGACCTGATTTGTCTGTATCAAATGTTGTTGAGCCTGATCGGTTCTCAGAGCCTTCTGATATATGATTCTCAACAATGTCTTCCGAGTCTGCTTCCACTGCTGCTGCTTCTTGGTGATCGATGTTTCGACCATTGTTCACAAGGCTTTTATACATTGTTAAAGCTTGAGCAATCATGCTAGCAGGATTTGAAGCAGTGCTTGGAAGCAACATTGTCGTACCCTACATCCCCCCACCAT